ACGGGCGTCTGCACGGCCGATTGCAGCTGCTGCTGCTGTTGCTGTTGCTGCTGCTGCTGCTGCTGCTGTTGCTGCTGCTGCGGCTGCTGCTGCGACTGCTGCGGCTGCGACGCCGCTCCCGCAGCGGGTGCGACGGTAGGCGCCGCCGGGGAGGGACTCGAGGTACTCGAGGAAGTAGCGTTCTGACGACCCCGACGCGTACCACCTGATCACAAACCGATCAACATACCCAGTTGCGCTTTGCCGTCACAAGCTGATGACCATGCACACCGGCTTTTATATAATAGAACAATAGACAAATTTTCGTACTCGACTCTCTTTCTCGCACGCTCTCACTCGTTCATTCGTTCTCTCTCTCTCTCTCTCTCTTTCTCACTTGCTTCCTTTCTTTCTCTTTCTTTTTTTTATCCGTATTTATAATCGATTCGGTTATGTCGAAGTACATTTACAGGGACAAGAAACGTTCCACGGAACTCGACAAACTTATCCGAACGTGTGTGTACATAGAGAATTCTCAAGGTACAGCCCTTGTCGCGTGTTGGAGTAAAAGAGACAGAGACACAAATGAAAAGAACAAACGGAGATATTATTTTTTTTTTTATTTTTTTAATTTAACTTAAATGAAGAGTAAATCGTTAAAAAGGTGACTTGATTCATCAGAGAAAATAGAATCTTAATTTGAATCTCAATCATTATAAAAATATGTGGAAAATCAACGTCTGCGACTTTTGCAGGAAATGACTCTTAAACCGACAAGAGTATTCGCTAACGAAAACAGCAATTATAATCGGGACACTCTGTATTATTATGTCAAACTGTTACGTATCCGTTAATATACACGTATATATATTGTGACACGCACGCAATGCGACTCTGTAATACCCCGATTTCCCCGATTGTCACGTTCTTCATATAACAGAATCAATTATTTGAAATTTTCAAGACTCAACCGATTGTTACAACAAAGAAAACAAATCTGATTATATGTAAGTAATATATAACAAAGTGCATATGTCAATCAGTACATTCCATCACCAGCAGCAAATCTAAGATATAACGACGAGAGAGAGATGTACATATATATATATATATATATATATATATCAATTTCAAGGTACAGACAAAGATACAAACAAACGGCTTTTAAAAAACATATTGGAGCTACGAGTAACTTCAAAGATACCTATTTGATCTTCAACGAAGCCTCAACATTCATTAATATAGGAGAATCGAAGCCAAAATCGCTCTAGGAGTAATACAAGCGTCAAAATAGCAAAGAAAAGAAGAACTCTTACACTTGTTAGACTTCATTCGTAAAAACTGTAATCATGCCGAAAAAGGGATACAGAGAGCTACTAAAACACAAAAAAAAAAAAAAAAAAAAAAAAAAAAAAAAGGAAGAAAAATAGAAAAGAAGAAAACAACGACAATACACACATACAGAACGCTCAAGAGTCACAACGCCGTAATCGCGTCAGAGAATACCAACCTATAGGACTCGCCGATTCTCTTTTCTTTCTCTTATAAATATATAGATAAATGAGAAAAAGAAATATATTTCAGTACTCTATTCAGAAGCATGCTACTGCAAGATACATGCAGCACAAATAATTATCGCTTTCCCATTCATTAGGACATTCCTATTGGTCGATATGTAAAATATGCGTAATAACAGGAAAAAAGAAGACATAAATAAAGGAGTATATTTAATCATAAAATGCAAAATTAAAATTGTTTACATCATACTGGCTTGAATATCAGTTATATCTGTATGATATGTAGGTAAGTAGCTTAATCACATAATATTATAATATTAAACGACATAAAAAAAGTATAAAATTCCATATATACATATTTCGAGATATAAGTTTAAAAATTAGAGAAAAAAATCTCACGATATCTTATTTGCAATGCATGCACACACATTTGCAGTACATGTAAAAAAAAAAATATATATATATATATTTTAAGTTGTTATATCGGGATAAGTTTTTGGATTGAGAATAGTTGCATGACCAAGGGACAAGATTAAAGACAAGTGACAAGGTGGGGGGGGGGGAGGAGGAAGCGACGGGAAGGGAAAGGCATAGGTCAGAGAATCAGGGGGTGGGAGGGAGGGGGTGCGGGAACGCGGACTTAAAGGAAAGTGAGAAAATTGAGCTGAGTTTGGCTCCAACCTGGCTGGTTCGAAGCAACGGTGTCTGCAACGCTCCTAGGTTCAACTTCGGCAGGACTGGGACTTAGTTCCTTAGCAGGATCACCGGAGGAAGTAGAGTGGGAATGACCGTAATGGTAGACCAGACCGGGTCTGGTCTTATACCGTGCGCTGCATACTGCAAAAGTGCAAATACTGTTTTCCCGCAATCCATCCAATGCAACGTCCAATGATAAGACAGACCTTTCGTTTTTAACGGACGATCAAGGGAGGTAGTACGGGACAGTAAAGCCGACAGGGCGGGGTCAGGGATAGCATTTGCACACCTTCCGCACCAGTACACATCCCTATCCACCTACGAGTCTATATGTGGACAAGCAGTGAAGGAGTTCCAGCCCAAGAAGCAAAAACTAATACGATGCAAGGCTTGATGCTTGTACTCCTACAGAATGAGCTCGCTACAGTGTGAGCCAGTACATTCTTGCTCTGTTATTATTGCAGGTAGAGCTAGTCCGAAGATATTTGGGCCGGTGACATTAGCTCGATCGTCAACGAACGAGTTCAATGCTCTGCGAAAATTTTCTGTCTCTAATACGAGCTTAGTATAACCAGACCAAATGTCTTTAGATTATCTGCTAGTCTAACAGGAGTGGTTTCAAGAAGTAAACAGATTGCAGGCACATTCGAGTTAATTCATAGACTTTATGTCTGGAAAAGTTTGACCACATTAGTAATGACTATTGTACTCCTTTCAGAAGGTAATATCGAAGTTGTTCAAAGAGTTATTTTAATTCTCTTTTTATCTTTTGCTTTTGTTTGCTAAATATAATCTAAATGTAATCAAATCCCATAAATTTGTGCATAACGAGTATATCAGTTTCTCTAAAAAAAACATGTAAATCAATTATGTAATATCAATATAATAGTCAATATAAAGTTAGTAACTTTAGATTCAAAAGTTTTGCTACGATAAATTTAAAAATCATGTAATCAGAAAGTGCTAAATAAAATTCAAGCATTTAATCGGCGTAATAGTATCATTAGTAATGTATTCATTTTGAATTAAAGTGAAATACAGTTATCAAAAATTGAATAATAAGATGTTAGTTTAATTAGATTGCTTTTAATTAGATATGCTCGATTTTTTATTTTAGCACAATAATAAAACAATTATGAGATAATTTGTAAATTTTAACTATCATTATCTTTTAATTATTGTTAATTCGATTAGTATAAATGTAGAGAAACAAGAATATGAATATAAAAAGCATATACTATTTATGCACAAAGTTTCAGATATTTGGAACACGACTAGTTTCTGCCTTGCACTCATACCATGACTGTTCATACACGAGAGTAAACAAAAGAAAATATAGATTTCTCTATACAATAAAATTCTTATGCTCAAATTTTTATATATGTTGCTTCTATTTATATTTGAAATGGTTGATACATTACCGATCAATCTCTCTGAACAAACAATATCAAGTTATCGCGATAATGAGAAAATAAGACCAGAAAGCACCTTCCCGCATTATATAGTTTGTTACTTATCTGAATTACCATTACGTATCATTGCCTTCACGTATTCAATTACGTATTATATATTCAACAACAATATTTAACAATTTATTTCAAATCTTATATCATATATCATAATCAAGTTTCTTCATAGTGTAATATATGAACATGAATATAAATGTGGGAGAAAATTAACAGATTTTGTAATGAAAAGTTTATGCATTTGTAACTTATTTGAAATAATAAACGTTAAAATTGATAATAGCAATAATATTTATAGTACTAATAACAGGAAGAATAGTCATTTGTAGTTGTATCTATGATTAAACTTACGGTCACAAACGAACGGTTTATCAGAATCAACTGAGTCGTAGTTGGTTTTCTTACGTCCACGACCTCCACCCTACATTAAATAAAATCATTTTATTAAAATCACGTCCATCCAAATGTTTTCTAATGTCGTCATTTATTATATTAATAATAATGCAATAATAATATTTAAAATATCAATCTTTACATCTATACTGATTTAACTTCTTTATAATTTACCTTTGTACGTTTGCCGCCTGGACTATCTGTGGTAGGTGGATGACTACGAGCAGGATGATGCCCACCACCTCGAGTTTTTCTGCGTTTCCGTTTACTGCTGTAGCTCTCTTCGTAATCATAATCGCTATCAGGATCAGGTTCTTCATAGGCGTCCATGTCTAACATATCTTGCTCGTCATAATACCAGGCATCTTTACTATGTTCATCTGCAAAAGTATAGTAACGTTTTATTTAACAGAAATACTGTATCTAAACTGTATATGATGAAATAGTATCATATAGGTCTGTAGATATACATATTCGATTTCATTTACCTTTAAGCGCGACTGAATCTTTGCTATCATCATTTACATGCGTAACAGCTTCTATACCTTCCGTTCCATCTTCTGTATCACCTCTTGGTCCTCGTTTTGGATGTAGATAGTGCATTAAATATTGCCGACGTTTCTTTCGCCATCGTTTACTTGGATAAGTATAGATCTGGCCGTGCAATAAACCTGGCAATCTTTCTCTCGAGGACATGAAAAGTGCGGAATGATTTTGTGCAACACCTGTAATTTTTAATCAGCTTATATATTATCATTTAAGACAAAACTATATAAATAAGTTCTTAATAATCTTTATTTCTATCAATCAATCAATATATCATAATCAATATATATCATAAATTAATTGTTAAAGCATAATTAATATTAATCAAAACTAGTTTAAAAATTTTATATCTAATAAAATGTCAATATGTTGATGACTTGGAGTTACCTATATCAAGAATTTATATTCTTAAATATCTATTCAAATACAAGAGAAACACCCTATGTAGTAGTCAGAAAATCAATATATCATTTCTCTTAAAATAAATCCTTAAAAAATTAGGGCCATTATTTTTCATAATTGCTCCATATACCTTTTTAAATATTTATACTCAATGTTTGTGACAAATCTGATTGATTTAAATAAATGATTTCACAATAGTCATTAATTAGCAAATTAATTACATCTACACAAGAACTGTGCAGAATCAATAATTGAAATTGAAATTGAAATTTACCTGTTTGTGAATCTAGGAAGGGCATGCGAAGACGTCGCTCCCGGCATAGCCGACTATTGTAATTCGATGAATTTTCAATGGCCTCTCTGTAAGCGGTGTCGTTGAGGAAGCTGCAAACGGATCGATAGTTACTTCTTCCAACGCGAATCGCAAGTTTATCGGGAATGCGACGAGATACGTACCTTTCGATTTTGCTCAGATTACTTTCGTTCACCACTTGTATTATCCCGCTGTTACCGTGAGCCATAGCTGGGGAGATCGCCACCGTTGTCATTTTCGGCCAGTTTTCAGGATATCACAACTCCGCGTCACAAATCCCGCTTGCGTCCTGCCAGCTCGTACGTAACGCTCCCTCGCTCCCCTCCCCCCCCGCCACGCTCCAAGTGCTTCTTCCCGGAAGTGGGACTGCGGTGGTCAATCGTCACACCACAACGTCGATTATCGATGCGGCTTTATGATAATGTGAGTGATATAAAAGCATCGCTGACGACATAGCAAATTTTCGCAGCGCTAAAATGAATTGATGAGAAGAGAGAGATTGAAAGGAAGAGAAAAGGAACACTTTGCATGTCTGTTGACTTGGCGTCGCAAACTAGTTCCGGCAACGTGGGCGTAACTTGTGACGCGCGCGCAGGCGTTTGAATATTCATCATGCGCGTCGCGCCAGCATAAATGGAAATAGGTGAAAATCAATCGAAATTTATTGCATTAATCACTTATTCGTTAAATATAAATATACGCTTTCCAAAAATGTAATTTCCAAGAATAGTAATTTTCACTTCTCCTTCGTTTTTTTATGTTAAATTTAACAGTTCAACAGTATTTTTATTTTGTATAATTTTAAGAAGTAAATGTGAATAAGCAAGTGAAATAAGTTTATAATATATAAAAGTTTTAAAAAAATTTGCGTTAGTATCTAGATCATAAAAGAATTAAGGATCAAGAACTTTTTTCAAATAAAAGAAAATAAGTCATTTCAATAATATCAATTAAAAAGCTAAAAATAAAACAAATTCCAAATTATGATTATTATTATATGTAATAATAAATTACGTTTTGTAGAAACATTAATTATTAATCGTTATATTATTGTAGGATACAATGTGTACAAAGAATGATTAAATATTTTAATCACATTTATGCTATAAATATAAATGCTGTATATTGTGTAAAGTACATTTAAATATCCTTCACATAATATCCTTCATTTAATCTTCATATTTGCAGAAAGAGAATAATCAGCATACGAAAGATCAAGAAAGTATATTTTCTTAAATGCAGAAATAAATAATTTACTATGAAAAAAAATTGACCCACATCATCATAAGTTTATTCTTGATTTATCAAGATATTGTGCAATATCTAAAAATAAATAAATTCATCTTAATAAGTATTGCCGAATTAAGATTTCAATTCACCGCTCTGATCTCTAGTTTCTTTCAAGATTTTCAACTTCGCAATTAACTCGTCCACCGCCATTTCGCCGTGTACTACGTTGTCTCTCGTTCTTATATTCACTGTGCCAGCGTTACGTTCCTTCTCTCCCACAACTGTAATAAGATACACGTTACTGTAAACTCTATCACATAGGGTAAATAGAAGTACCGAACGATATAAATTATTTTATAACAATTTTATCTAGCAAGGATTTGATACGCACCGAGTATAAAGTTAAATTGTGCCAGTTGAGCATTGCGAATCTTTTTATTCAGAGTATCACTTGGATCGGTGTCGATTTCAATCATAACGCCCGCATCCCAGAGCTTTTGTTTCACTTCGTGAGCGTAATCGTCGAATTGCGACGCTACCGGCACAACCATTGCCTGTCGCGGGGAGAGCCAATACGGCCATTTGCCGCCGTACGATTCGGTTAATATCGCAATCATACGTTCTACAGAGCCCAAGATAGCTCTGTGTATGATAACAGGACGGGTTTTCTCTCCAGCTTCGCTATAAATACAAAACAAAAATAATTCATGTTGAAATTTTTAATCAAAATTTAATAAAGCTTTTAATTGATACTTACTTAACATATGACAGATTAAATCTAATTGGCAGTTGGAAATCTAACTGTATTGTAGCGGTTTGATGAGGCCTTTTAAGCGCGTCCAGGAGAGTTATATCAATTTTGGGCCCATAGAATGCGCCGTCCTGAGGATTAAGGATCCATGGCTGACCGAATGCGTTCAGACTGTCTTCCAACGCTTTCTCGGCCTCGTCCCAGACTGCTATATCACCCAGGAACTTCTCGGGTCGCGTGGATAGGCACAAGTTGAACGTAAAACCAAGAACGGAGTAAACATGTCGCAGGAAGTCAAGGGCGCCACTTATCTCATCTTTAATCTGATCGATCGAACAAAACATGTGCGCGTCATCCTGCTGGAATCGTCTTACTCTCGTGAGACCCGTTAACGCGCCCGACAGTTCGTTGCGATGCAATACGCCGAAGTCCGCGAATCTGAGCGGCAATTCGCGCCATGATCTGTTACGAACGTCGAACATCATACAATGGCCCGGACAATTCATGGGCTTGAGTGCGAAAGTCTCCTTCTCCACGTCGAAGGAAAACATATTCTCCGCGTAATGCTGCCAGTGTCCTGAGGTCTGCCATAGTTTACTGTTGAAGATGTTCGGAGTAACCACTTCTTGGAATCCTCTCTTTTTGTATTCGGAGCGAATGAACTCGACCAGAGTATTATATATGTATGCGCCGCGCGGTTGGAAGAAACAAGAACCCGGCGAAAGCTCGTGGAAGAAAAATAATTCCTGCTCCTTTCCGATCTTCCTGTGATCCCGTTTAGCCGCTTCTTCCTGGAACTTTTCCCATTCCTTCAATTGCTTGGTATCCGGAAAGCTTATTCCGTACACTCTTTGCAACGACTCTGCGTTAGCGTTTCCCTCCCAATATGTGGACGAGTTTTTCGTGACTTTAATGGCCTTGATCTTCCCCGTGTGTCGAACGTGCGGTCCCCTGCACAGATCGATCAATGGACCGCATCTGTAAGCTGTGGTAGTAGGCGTGTGTATCCTCTCGTTTATAATCCGTACTTTGAACTCGTTGTACTTGAACATCTCTAAGAGATCCTCCTTCGTCATTTCTAGCCGTTCAAACGGCTGCTTTTCTTTTACTATCGTTTTATACAGAGTTTCCAAATATGGAAAATCCATGTTAGAAATGCCCTTGTCGCCCAGATACATATCATAGTAAAAGCCATTTTCAATAGGAGGACCATAACAAAGACAACCTCCATATACTCTTTCCATAGCTTCTCCGAGGATATGAGCGCTGGAATGCCAAAACACCTGCTGACCTTCCGGATCATCAAATTTTAGCAATTGGAGCTTGCAATCATACTCCAACGGTCTGTCAAGGTCCCATAATTCATTGTTGACTTTTGCTATTACAATATTATCCGCCAATCCTTGACTAATACTTTTTGCAACATCATAAGGAGTTGTACGCCAGGATTGAGCAGGTACCTCTTTGCCATCAGGAAGAGTTACAGTTATATCTACAGAAGTCTTGGCTGCCACTGCATCATCGTATTCCTTTTTTAATTTATCCCACAATACAATGCGGTCCTACATAAAAACAGACAAAAATTGCATTTAAAAATCTAAAATAATAAATTATTATAAAAAAATACAATTTAAATAAATAAGTAAATAAAGAAAACCATTACAGCTCAAGTTAAGAGCAATTATATTAAATGCACAATTAGCTTAAATGCATTTAAATTTTACTTTAAATTTAAATTTCATTTTAAATTTAGCTAAATTAACCTGAATGTAGGACGGCCAAGGATTAAGCTCAGATATCGACTTCTCCATTGCACCAGCATTTTTCTTCTTCGCCTTCAGCGACTTCGCCTGAAAACAAAAAATTCGAAAAATAAGAATCGCCTCGCACATCTTTCGAATTCAAGTTGCAAACCGAATGGCGCGAGGAACAGTCGCATGTCAGGTGAGCGTGCGTCAGAAAACACTTTGCCTGAAACAATGCTCGCTCAGGTTACGTCAGATTATCGATTCTGTCATCGTCAGCGATTGACTGCGTGTTATAAACAAAAGGCGTGTTCCAACGCGGTTACATTGTTAGACGACGGGCAACGAATTTCGACGTAACGATCACACAAGGAAGAGCCGGAAGGGCAAGAAAATACGTCTTAACCAACCCGAGCATGTGTCCACTTAGTACCGCCGTAAACGGTCCTACAAATGTGAAAACGTAAACTCGTCAACATAGTTTAACAATACACTCGGAAAACGAGATACGTTCGAGTCGTGTATAAAGTTTCGAAATTCATGCCTTATCCTCCGTCAAGATCAGGTTCTCTAAGTCAGCTACCACGTTGCCGTTCATGTTGGAAGTTTCTCGCACAATCGGGCCGCCGCCAGTCGCAACTAAATCCTCGACAGTTCTGATTCTGCGCGAGACGCAGCCAGGCACGGCCACGTACGATCGAACTATTGTTGCGGATGTGTGATATATACATAACAATAGCAATATAGGATAGAGTTTTTTCCGATGTCTTTCGGAACGCAACAATAGTTATAAGAATGAGAACCACTGTCCATAGCCGTAAATTACGAAAATTGAAAATTAAAGATTGCGAAAATTGGAGAGTAGAATTTGTGATGTCGGTCAGATCATCTTAATTTTAATTATTTTTACTTCAATTAGTCAAATTTTAATTTTTAATTTTTGCAATTCTTAATTTTTAATTTAGTAGTCTGACACAGGCTTTAATTTGTAGTCTGACATGTAAATTTCTATCAATATCTTTAGTTTCGATTTAATTTTTTTTTTCATTTTTTTCAAGATTTAGAAAAAATAAATTAAATTAATAGACCTTGATAGAAATGGATATAAAATATAGGTTGCGTGATTTCATTTAAAAAGAGGAAGCGAGTTAGGCGGTCTTAAAGTTCCTTTTATTAATATTACTATTAATTTATTGTATATACGTTTGATGTTTTGTATAAAAAATAAAAGTTTTAGAAAAATTTTTATGAAAAAAAAGTCAACGATCCTGCCAGGATTCGAACCTGGAATCTTCTGATCCGTAGTCAGACGCGTTATCCGTTGCGCCACAGGACCTCGTTAGAAACCGTTAGTTAAAAATTTTATTATAAGGGACGATATATTATTTTATATTATCGTATTTCCATTTATATTTATGAAAATTTTCAATATACATTATAAAAATATTGAAATTATTCTAATACTAATTACAAATCTATTATTTCATTTTCTACGTACGTAACTTTTTGATATCTATATATCATAATATATTAATTTCGTTGCAACGCATTACACTTTATATTTTACAAATAGTTACAACAATAAAACATATATCTACATATAAAATATGGGTGAGGGCAATTACACAAAGAAATTGAGAATACATTATAGGAATATAAAAATTGATTTTATTGACATATCTGAAAATTAAACTGAAATGGGGTTTGCGTTCTATCACTAACAATCTGCTTTGTACTTTGTAATGCGTTTTGAGTTCTATGATCATCTAATTGTCTATTAAAATTCTGTATACCATGTCCACTGGCTTTTTTAATAAATATCGACTTTTTATCTGTCGAGGAATTTGTAAATTTTACAGTTGACACAGTTCTGCTAAATTTTCGCTCGTCCTCAGCCATTTTTTCTCTGTAATCTCCCAAAGTATTCCTCATTATTTGTCTCTTTTTTATCAACGGCGCGGTGTTACTCTTCAACGAATGTAATTGTTTACTGAGATCCTGCGCCTGCTTCTCCTGCAATTTACGAGTAGCTAGGCTCGTTTCTAGCTGTTGTATACACCAACACAATTCCAATTCGAAACGATCCTCCTCTTCTGGATTCAAACAGCTTGTATTGCTCGTATCTGCTGCCTTAGGAGGAATACGTGGTTTTGACATGCTCTTTTCATTCTTGCCGTTGCGCTTGGAATTCTGAAAGAAATGCAACGATCGTACTTAACATTGCCACACCGACAGTTTTAACAATAACCATATTGTTTGTCAACTGAAAACAGGAGAACAAGGAGGAATCTTCATGAATTACCATCGCAGGTTTTGGCGGCATTTCGTAATGAGATTTATTTCCGCAAATGACGTTATTACAAAATCACAGTGTCGTAAATCTAATTGCATATACAACTAAATTCTAAAATAAATATATTAATAACAATATTACTTGTCGAAAAACACAAATGTTAGGTTATATATTCGACATGTAGGGGACAAATGCGGCCATCTCTCGTATGTAGGAAGAAACCGTGTGAAGTTTGCGCGATATATCGCGATAAATCGATCGATAGGTTGCGTTTAAATTTCAAACGAGAATACCGCGCGCAGAATTTACGAATTTTCGATTCCTTTGTTTTTCTTCTTTTCTCACGTTTGGCGTCTACAATTAAAAGTATGTCGCTCGTAAGTTTGCGTTTACTTCATCTCCCTTCTCGAATGAGAATTCGCGGGGGGGTTGCCTTTCGCTTTCTGTGTAAGAAATCTCGATAATCACTCGTGCCGTGCTGAAATGGAGAAATATTACGTGATTACGCGAGAGGGAAATGAACTCATACGTTGTGCTACATGCTGTCGTCAATTTTTACAATCAAGGACGGACACACGGAGAGTACGAGAGTAATTATGCGGAGAGAAAACGCAACGTGAGAAAGCGGCGGAAGTAGAAGAGAATCGGACTGCATGCGATGGATAGTTTACGAAGAAATTTAAAATACGACTTTGTAGAAGCGAATTAATTGCATTGTTTTTTGTTTTTAGGATTTGGCGCAAATTTTTTATCTTCAGACATTAAATACTCAGAGTGAAAATCAAAGCAATGTTTGTCAATTGATATTGACTTAAAAATTCGATTAACACGTTACGTTATTTCGAATTTTTTCATTGTGCGGAATAAAAAAGATAAAAATAAAAAAAAGAGATATTCAATAATCTTATGAAAATCTTATGAAAATTTTCAAATTAAATATTTCTATTCTATAAATGAATAAATATATAAATAAGTAAAGATGATGAATCTTTCAACGTTATTATTTCAGGGCATTCTCTCGAAAAGGAAGAGATATTTCGGTGAAAAGTAGAAGAGCAGTAGAAATGTATAATGTACGAGAGAGAGAGAGAGAGAGAGAGAGAGAGAGAGAGAGAGAGAGAGAGAGAGAGAGAC